CGCAGTAGGAAGCGGCGAGGTGAATGTGCTTTATTTTTCAATTCTCACATCTTCATGCTGAAAGATAAACGATCGAATTGTAAAATAAGTATTTCTGTTTCATCAATTACATGGGCGATAGCACATGTACATGATCAGGCCACCAACATATAGTAGGTAAAAGAAGATGAGCGGGAGTTCAAGAACGACAAGCAAGACCCGACTTTTTCACATCATCTCACCTAATGATAAGTAGTAGGATAACCGTCTGCCTTCCACGAAGAGGTCTGGATAATTTAATACAGAGTTATATTTGCCGCGAACTCTCGTCTCCGATAATTTCCGTAATCGATCTTATTTCGTTAATTTATGCAATATTTTTTACTGCTTTTCAAAGCATTTCTAATCTAAACTACTATTTGAGCAGTAAGGAGGTATGTGTACAGAGTAAGTGTCTGTTGCCGTATTAGAATGTTTCTCCTCTATAGGAGTAATCAGGCAGTGAATCAACCTTTCAGTTCGTTTTATTCAAACGTGGCTTTTCCGAAGGGCCAAATAATCAAAACAAATGGGCAAACAATGCAAAAGAAAAAATGCATTGATACTTTCGCTGTACGTTAACAACGAATTACAAAATAAAACAAGCATGATTTAAAAAACAGATTGTTAAAAGCACATCGTGACGTGTGTTATATCATTGATTAAATCTGAATCAAATAAATAAACACACGCCATGTTATCTCATTGCTATATAATACAAAAAAAAACATAGAATTAACTATGAACTTAACGTGACATGCTAATGCAATACCTGAATTCTCAACTCCTGAAAATAAGATTGCCTCGCATCCATCCAGAATCCAAATATTACCACAATAAACAATCTTATCCTTGATTTCACGAACCCAAGGTCACCAAATGATTGTTTCATTCCAAATATCACCTCAGAAACTACTTAAAAAACTATTTTTTTGATCACAATTCGTTTTACGAAGTCCCCGAGTTTATACGAGTACTATATTGCCGTCTTGTGGGATTTCATTTTCTACTGTTCCGTATTAGTGTGTGACCGCCAAATCGACGTCAACATACTGTCGTATTTATTTTGAATTTATATAGACATGGTAAATTTTGCCAAACGCTCACCACAGACGATATCGAGTCGGGAGCGAATATCCAACTGGAAAACTTTGGAGAAAATTGTCTTGTTGGACTATATGAGCCATTTCTGATACACTGACGTGCATTGCAACGTAAGCTTGACGCGTGTTCGTTGATCGTAAATTTGATAAAAGCCAACATGTTAGGGGAATAAACTACTCAGCCAATAATTGGGAACAGAGAAATGTTTCGAATAGTTCTGGTAAATTTTAAAATCTAGGCATAAAAAAATTAACGCTGTGCGAGATAAAACCTACACACATTTTTATTCCGTAAAAAACGTCTGTATCTTGATAGCATTGCATCAGTTTTTTTTTATTTGACACATTTCACACGTGGCCTCTAATTCAGCAGAACCTGTACCCAATGGTACCCAAACTGCCGATCTATATACCTATATATTTATGTATACATAAATGTTAGAGAAAAATTACCTACACATAGACATTGAATTAAAGTAAAATTGAATTAAACAATTATTTGTCCTGGATGGGAATCGAACCCACGACCTCTGGCTCAGCACTCAGGATCACTTAGACCTAAAAGCTACCCGTTACTCATTGCCTTTGTGATTAGAAACGTCATGTCCTTAATTGATTTATTTATTCGCGTTATAGATAACTCCAATAACTGTACCTCTGCGTATTGTTGGTATAGGGGCCAAATGAGCCGACGGGCCTAGTGATCTAGTGGTTAGTAATCTTGACTGCTAAGCCAGAGGTCGTGGGTTCGATTCCCAGCCAGGATAAATAATGGCGTGATAAATACGTTCATTTCTTCTGTATCCTGGCTTAATTTATCTATAGTATATCTGTATGTATTTAGAAATATTTAATTACGTATTTCAGAAGTCTGGTTCCTAGAACACAGGCTCTGTTTGGTTTAGGATTAGATTGCCGTGTGTGAGATGTTTGCAACTGCTATTTCTCGTATTGTTTATGTGTAATATAATAAACAAATAATAACATTTTTCGGACATCTGACACAACAGCGCCATCTAGTTTCAAACTAAGCAGAGCTTGTATTATGAAAGCTAGATTGACTGATACAATACTTTTTTTGGTAAATACCTACATATTATACATGAAAGAGCCCAAACTCCGAAACAAATACTTGCAGATCATATAAACATTTGGTCCGACCCCAAGACCCCGGTAATCGAACCCAAGACCTCGGCACAGCAGTCGCATGCGCCACCGAAGCAGTCAATATATATACACATACTTAGAAATAAATAAGGATGAATATCAGGTACTACAAGGTCTGCCTAGTTTAGAATCAGACGTATATGAGATGTATAAATTATTATTATTATAGTTTTAAGAAAAATTACAATGTTTATATTAGCCACTTTCAGTATAGAGAGCGAGAGAGAAGAGAGAGAAAAGCAAAATCATCATTACTCTTGCGGCTAAAATTTTCGATATAATGATAAAGGCTGATGATAAAGGATGAGGGATGATAAAATATATGATAAAGGCTGTGATCATAGTATACGCCCCATTTTCTTCAGCCTTTCCACAGACCACCGGGCTGTTACGCTTCACGAACAAGAATATATTAACCTCGCAGCTGTGTTGAATGTTTGCCAAATTAAATATAAAATATACCGGTCGTAACACGGGCTCGATTGGAACACTTCACGATACATAGTGTGGTCTAAATTTATATTAAATGTTTATTATTTTATGTGTATCCAGCTTGATTCTATAGGAGTTGACCCAACCAGAAACTTGATTTAAATAAACAATTGATCATCATTTTATGGTATTTAGTGACTTTTTTTTACCTGTGCTCATGAGTGAATGCTGTTTCGAATTCTGGATAGAATGGGATTGGCAAAGCTTAAAAAAGCGCAAAAGGGCGCTTTGGGGGGCTTCACAGAAAAAAGAATATCTGATAATCAACTAAATTCCAGTTCGTTAGTAATAATTAAATAAAGGTATAATCATGAAACACGAAAGTTTAAAAGTTGTAGGAGGTATTCCAGGAATTCATTTTGAATGCCTGGATGTATTTTCATATGCTTACTTACTTACGTTACTTTCAGTGAAACTGATAAAAGATAGGTATTAGAAAAAAAACTGTAAACCTTAAAGCAACAGTGTAGGTACTTTGCACGCGACGTTCAAAGAAAAAATTATAACTATTATTTATGTGAATGTAAAATATATTTATACACTAAGATAACAGGGACATGAGACTGAATGCTTTTTGGAAAATCTGCTCTAATCTTACTGTACTATATAGTTTAGTAAAAAATACTTTTACTTTACCATAAGCCCAAGATTAAGAAGAAGAAGTACCTTGATAGGAACTATCAAATGACTAGCAAAAACTTTAAGGGCCTATTAAACGACTCCAAAAAATCTCCAAAAAGTCTGCTCGTCTGCTCCCTCTAACATTAAAATAAAAAAATTATTTAGACATTTTTACTATTATATTAAAATGACTGTTTTAAAATACTAATGATATTGCATGAATGAAAACTAATGATGACACAATTACGTTTTTTTTGTTTAAATATTATTACTATTATTTTATTAATTATTTTAATTTCAAATACAATGTAATTTGTTGATGAATAAATGACTACGACTATTTTAATGTAATGTACTTCATACTTCTTTAAGTGGCCTGATGTTCTGACCAAAGGTCAATTTTCAGTTCCGATCTACTCTCTACTACTAAAGTAGTAAAGTACTACTAAAACTACCAGAATATCGATTCAACTTTCTTTCACTATATATTATAATCAAATTACAGTCAACGTTCGATGATTAATGCTTCGCTACGAGAACACCTTTTACGCCATTTAACGTCAGGTTGCACTAGTGTGTACAACCTGTCAGTCGGTGTACATCAAATGTCAATGAACTCTTATCAGCAAATGACTATGTATGTACTCGAAAGGTACAAAGTATATACTTAGTCCTGAGAAGAGTACCCAGTCGGTATTGAGAAGCTTATCGCTAACATAACCGATTACATCGCTGAATCAATTGATTAACGATTGCAAGTTATAGCATTTGAACTAATGTCAATATAATTAAGTGTTTTCATTAAAACAGGTCCGTCAGAGTAAAGTCGATTTCGTCAATCAGATAGCGTAAAAAGCGTATGTTCTATTCTTGCACATAAGCTACTTTTCATCTATTATAATTTATCTTTGTGCTAAATTCCATCCAAATTCGTTCAGCAATCTAGCGTGATGCAGTAACAATCATTCAACCAAACTTTAGGATTTATAGTTTTTAATTTAAATACTTATGTGCCTACACTTAAGGTCGTTTATTAAAAATTTAACCGAGTGATATTAATGTCCAGAAATAAATCTTTATGAATGTTATGAAAACGTGTTATCACATCACAATCACGTATCATAATAATGATGTTTAAACTACAAAATAAGAAAAAAAAATAAGAGTATTAATTTTACAATTACTATCCTATGCCAATATAACATTGTCCTTTGCTTATCAAATAAAAAAATATAATGCCACTGTTTACCATAGATCAAGTAGCATTATTTGTCGTATATCCCAGTCTAAAGAACAAGTTAGCTACGAAATCTCGACTTAAACATAATTATTTTTAATTCTATTCAACGACCTAGCATTCCAATCAGTCACGGTACTACGGTATTCTTAATATACACACACATCTCGAGAACATGCTGCTAACTACTCTATTATTACAAAATCAGTGACGTAACGTATCTTAAACACAAAATGTACGAAAATTTCAATCTTTTCACATAAAGGTGTTAATTTTCAATACTATATCATCATTTACTCACACGGCAGCACTGATAATGGTCTCATAAATGGTAAAATTATGTAATTATAAATAAAACTCACCATTTTAATTTAAAAGTGGCGCGTGATCCAAAGGATATTTTAATATACTGAACAACGCGTTTGCACGCCGCGAGCTATGCGGACCAACTGCGGTCTAGAGTTCGGTCAAGGCCGTGGAAACTGTGCCAAACAGCCAATAATCGACCTCTGACAGCGCGGGAAACTTCGACCTTAGCGGAAACAGGAGCCAATCATTGACAATTCACCCTTACCAAAAATGTCGCTTTACTTTTAAAGTACTAGTTATATTTTGCCAATAATGTGCATGCGGTATTGAATATTTTAATCGGTAAATTACAAGGTAAGATCATTGAGAACTAATAGACATTTTGATACTGCGAGTTTTGAACTCATACCAAAACATTAATGTTTTTTAATCATTATAAATGTAGGTAAACCGGTAAATATTTTAGTCGATTCAGCTGGATAATCTTTATTTTAATAGACGTACTGACGTCTACTACAATAAAGATTATCCACTGGCAATACAGTTATTAAAAAAAAACTACTTTAATGACTTCGTTATACTCGTACTACTGGTTCATTTAATGTAACATACAATTGTTCATCTGTAAAGCAATTTTAATTGGAATTCTTGAAGTCGAGAAAAATTGAAACTCTTGAGAGTACTTTACTATTTTACATATTTTATTAGCTAATGCATTGCCTAATAATTAGACTTGCAACGAATATTCGGTTACTATTCGGTATTCGGCCTATTCGGCTGCTTTTATTATATTCGGCCGAATACCGAATATCTACATATTATTCGGCCGAATACCGAATACTTAAATAATATATTTTGTCATTGAGAAATAATTGGTAAAATGAAAAATTAAAATCTATTGATTACGTATATATTCATATTTTCATTTCTGTTCTAATCATTTAAGTAGTCATTGGTGCATAACACAGGTACATAATCATCTTCTGAATTGGAAAAATATAGGATTTTATGTATTTGAATTATTGTGGTAATCAAAATTTAGAAGGGTAAGGTTCTTATTTCTTTTATAATCATTTATTAAGTAGTCATTGGTACATAAAACAGGTACATAATTTAATTCACGTCAGTACAAGTTTTTGGCGCTAAAATCCAGCCGAATACTTTTGCCTAATATTCGGCTATTCGGTCAGGGGCCTCGCCGAATATTCGGTATTCGGTATACTGCCGAATATACTATTCGTTGCAAGTCTACTAATAATGTAAACGCATTGGCCTATGTCCAACAGTGGATCTCAGTTTCGGTCTCAGTGGATTGTCTTTCGTCTGATCGGCTGAGATGATGGTGCATTTCAGCAAGTGAGTGAGGTGATCGGAAGACGGAAATCCTTTACATGAATAGCGGCAATGCACCTGTACCTCTCGAGTCGCAGCTGTTCATTGGTGGCTGTAGTCACAGATGATCCCCATTAAATTAAAAAAAACATGACAGCTGAGTTTGGTTATCTGCACGGGATATACACGGACTAAACAGACAACCCCGTATGTTTGCTAGATGCCCATAAATCCTAATTAATTTTAAAATCTTATCTTTCCTATAATTATTCTTCAATAAATCCTTTTTTTTTTAAATAGAACCGACTCCAAACAATACTAACAAAGACCATTACAAACCTAGCAGCAATCGCGGTTAATTTGCTGTCGTTTTTAGAAGAGTTCCGTTGTCTGTCTCCGAAACTCATTATTCCATCTACACATACATTTACTACCCTCTTTTATCCGAAAGTCCGAAGAAGTAAACAGAAGCGTATTTAATCGACAAAATTTTGACGACTACAATGTTAGTCCCACTTACGTAATAGAGGACAACCCTATTCATTATTAAATAATTGTCCTTCGTGGAAATCGAACCCACGACCTATGGCTTAGCAGTCAGGATCGCTAACCGCTAGACGAACAGGCCAATTAGTAAAACCTTATATCTTTCATAAATATGAATGCCTCTTAGAAAATGTTGAATCTAATATCACCAGGAATCTTAATTATCTTTCTATGTAAACATTTACTGCACAGACATGGTTTGAACCAGTACTTTTCGATTCCATTCATTTTCATGTAATTCGAATATGCTGGAAATTTAGATTCTTAGCCAGTACACTACTGCGTATACAAATATAATATATTTTACGATGAAAATGAGTAACTGGCCTTAAAATTCCTCACATCGTTTTAACTTCTAAATATATTATTAAATCTTTTTAAAATAATCAATATTTAAATAAATTATAATCATTTTATTCAGTTTAAAATCATAAAGGTTATTTAAGATTAAGGTTGTCTGTAAGAGATCGCCGTGAGCGATAAGACCTCCGATTATTACGTCCATATATGTGTAAGTAACAGTAAGTAACAGTCAGTAACAGTAAGTAAAAGTTTATGTGTTAACTGTACAAAATAAAGATAAAAATAATTAAAGAATAAAAATAATTTATAATCATTTTATTCATTTATTTTCTTCTTTTCCTTAAGCCTGTTTACTTTTTTTAGTTTTCATGTTTACTGTTAATATTTAATAGGGATGTAATGATGTAATTAATATAATTCTTAGTCGATGTTTGTACCTGCCTCTTTAAGGTTCCGTACCCAAAGGGTAAAACGGTACCCTATTACTAAGATTCCGCTGTCCGTCCGTCCGTCTGTCACCAGGCTGTATCTCATGAACCGTGATAGTTAGACAGTTGAAATTTTTACAGCTGATGTATTTCTGTTGCCACTATAACAATATATACTAAAAACAGAATAAAATAAATATTTAAGTGGGTCTCCCATGCAACTGATATGATTTTTTTGCCGTTTTTATAGATAATGGTACGGAACCATTCGTGTCCGAGTCCGACTCGCACTTGGCCGGTTTTATTTTTCAATAAAAGACAATTTATATAAAATGTGCTAATTTATTGGTTAAATTAAATAATATCTACAAAAAATTAAATGTTCAACTGACTAAAAAACGTCACATTAAACTAAAAAGTTTTAATTTTCTTCAAAAAAATAACTAAATTCATTATAGGTACCTTTTATTATCTACCTGAACATACTAAATAATACATGAACTAGGTAATATCAAGAAATATTTATGTTTTGTCTTTTTATGCCTTTTAGTTACTAATACAATAATTATTACAAAAAAAAATTGACTATACATTTCTTTACCACTTATATTTAAATGTCCATAATCCCCAACTTATAAAATCCGGTTGTCAACAAACTAAGATATGGTTGCAGTATCAGTATTTTAATCTAAATCTATTAATCATACCATTATAATATATATATTATTTATCAATTTGTACTTAATATAGAATATTATTGAAAAATATTTTTTGAAGTGAAAACTTCTTTAGTGGCGTTGTACACTTTTTTGTAATGGGTAAAAAATGTTAAACTCGCGTCAGGACACGTGACCCTGATCGAAAATTCGTAACACGGATGGAGAGTAGACAGCCGGCGCGGCGTAGGAGAGGAAGTATCCCTCTCTTTCTACGGCGCGGCGAAAAATTATGCCTGCGCCTGCTGTTTCGTTTAGGCGGCGCAGGGCGCTTGCGTTCGTTCGTTCGTTTTTCTGAGAGATAAACTTTTTAATGTAATATAAATCGTCATGTTTGTTTACGATAGCGTAATAAATAAATATTGTATTCTACGCCATAAATGATAGTACTTTTATACTGATAATTAAAGCAATTCATGCAAAATTATTCCCTAACCATTCCAAAATATCAAAAATGCACAACGTTAATATTTAAGTTTTCACTTCTGCCGGAGTGCAACCCGTCGTTTTTTTTTTTGCATTGTATACTTGTTTTTACTGATTAAAAACTAAATACATGTTAATGTAAGTTAGATATAATCCTTCACAGGGAGCTTCGCCTAACAGACGAAATTATAATAAAGCAGTATGTTTCGTATCATGATTTGAAAGAACTTATGACATTACATCATTCATTCATCATTGAATGAATTGAATCTATAATAAGTACATAATAATAATAATAAATTCTTTATTTAAAACTAAAAACAGACGACAATAAATCAAATGTGTTTGATAATGATTGCATTAGTGAAACACTGTGGCGCAGTCACTAACGGTCACCTTTGGATGTGATGCAAACGTTCCATTATACACATATACCACACACAGAGTAACCACCCGAGATACAATGTATTCCCTTTTTTTGGTTGACGGGGTGGAAAATCCCTTGATTCTCCGGCTCCTCGCGGACATAGGAGTATGTGTTGTTTCCACTAAAACCACCCCAACAGCCGGTCTCAGGCGCCCTGCTATGGGTAGGACCCGGACCATGTTATTTCAGGTCCCCACCGGATCAACGTCGCGCCAAAATAAGTCCTATTTTGGAGGGATATAATGGAGCCCTACAACGAGCATATACCTTAAGAAATCATGATTTATCGATTTTGAAATAAGTGATAATAATTTTGTTGCGTTCACTAATTCTTGCGGGGAGAGGCGGGCACATGTCTCATGAGTTGCAGGCATAGAGATTTAACCTAGAGGAAACAAGAGCCCCAATCTTGCAATATAGGCAACGAGAGAGATGGATAACAGATAGTCCCCTCTATCTATTTCTAGCCGAGCTCTGCGGTTGGCTGGGGAATATGAGGTGTCAAAAAGTAGCCAATCGCAGCTTAACTAAACAGAGACAGAGGGAAATATCCTTCTCTCTCGTTGCCTGTATCGCTTCCAGTTACAGGCAGCTATACCCTGTATTCTGTCTATGGTTGCAGGGGTCCGGCGCAGCGGTAGTCATTTATCGTTAGCTGACCTGTTTACCCCAGTTTGTGACTGATAGAATACTTATATACTTTTTTTTGTAAATACATCCATAATATACATAGAAAACACCAAAACTTCGAAACAAGACTCGAGCGGGAGGTACTCCAAGGGCGGCAACGCACTTGTGACTTTTGAGTTTCAGGTGTCCATGGGCGGCGGTAGTTGCTTACCATCAGGTGACCCGTCTACTCGTTTGCCCCCTTTACCATAAAAAAAACTTTGCAGATCATAAAAAATTTGGTCCAACCCGGGAATCAAACCCGAGACCTCAGCACAGCAGTCGCATTCGCTACCACTGCACCACTGAGGTAGTCAACTAGGACGATTTGTTCCGTAATGATCTCATTCAAGATTAAACATTAAATACCACCCCTTAAGATAAAAAGTTAAGGAATGAAGAATACAATCTATTACAATTCATCATAATGTAGGATTATCCGTGTGGTGACAGTTTAAGAATACGGAATGTCACCACCCCTATTCACCCCGTGGGTGTCGTAAGAGCCGACTAAGGGACCAAACTACGCAGGTCAACAGCACTGCAAAGAGAAGGAAAACTTGACAGAAACCCTGTAAAAACCCGTCTGGCTAGCGTGGTATGGTAGGCCAAAACCTCCTTTCTAAGAAGAGGCCTATGTCCAGCAGCGGACTATTATAGGCTGTTCATGATGATGACGATAATGTAGGCTCATTGAATTCTAAAGTCTTATCCCTTATTTTTTTACTCTTAGGAAAGGTATTTTCTCTTCAAATTTAAATGAGATCAAACAATTGGTATATCCTGTCAAACAACAACGGGTATTTGCCAAATCGACTTATAAATGATGGAGTCCTAAGTCTGAGCTAACAAACATACAATCAACCAAATAGAAAGCCTGTTTTTTTTCGGTTAAAAAAGTTGCTCACATTTAAGTCTTACTTAAAGTACCTTAATATGTAAATTAACAAAAACTAGACTAGTGTTTCATAAATTTCAGAGTAATTAAAAACTAAGGTACAAAATTGGTGCATTAGATATCGAGTGTAAATATTATCTAAGTTAGAGCTAAACCTTTTTTTTCTAATCGACTATTTCTAACTTGGCCCCTGTAGTGATACTATTCTACGTGACTTAATTTACTAAAACATTACATACTAACTAATTTGTAGTGAGTGTGTGGTATATGCTAAATTTTTTGATAGATGTAACAATTATTTATTAAACATATATTAAAATTAGTAACAAAACGATACAATAGTAAAATCTTAATCGTTTTTTTGTACAATTTTTATAACTACAATTTGTAGAGTATAAATATAATTAATTCGTGATAATTATTATTTTATATTATTTTTTTAACTTATAATTAATAAATAATCAAAGGTACACGTAGATTACAAACTACAGTATGTTTTGTTTTTTAAATATTTATAAAAATACCTAGACTTGTCTTAAACTAAGGCACTTCTTATACAATTGTGTGCGTTGCGCTTATCAAATACTTTAGTATAAAATATATATATACTGTGGCGTTTTTTTTAAGATTTGAGGTGACCGATAAACAGTTTGACTAGTCGACTTACACTCTAAGGGCCAAGTGCGAGTTTATTTTACTTCTACTCGATCGTCACGGTGAACGCGTTCGGCGCTACGATTGGCCCGCACTGAACTCTCCACCAATCGCAACGCTAAACGCGCTCACTCTCGTGAGCTAGTCGATGTAAAAAAAACTTGCACTCGGCCTTCCGATGTGGACGAAACTTTTTAATGGCAGTGAAAGACAATATAAACCGCCGTGGGAGAGCCATGCTTCGGCACAAATCGGCCAGCCCTCTCCTCCTAGTGCAGTGGTTCAAAGGGCGCCCACGCTTTTGTGACTCATAAGTTACAGGTATCCATGGTCCATGGGCGGCGGTCGTCACTGACCCGTCTGCTCATTTGCCCATTATTACATAAAAAAACTTGTTTGTGTCATTGTTATATTACTATTCCTTTATTTTATGTATCATTCCTATACATGGTCACCTTATGTTCCTACTTGATGGAAATGCTCTTGTGCCAGAAAGTAGGTACTCAATTTGGCTTTAATAAATATTATTATTAGTATAATTGAGAAAAGAGCCACAAAATGTTAACACATGCATTGTCAAGGGTGACTGTTCTTATAATGCTTGACAGACTCATTTTTTGCTAGACAAACTATATTTTAATTCTGTTTTCGATTTTCAAATAGTATAGTAGTAAGTCGACTAAATCAAACTTATCCTAGTCGATTTTGTTTGTTCTTATAAATATATTATTTTTACTAATTATAATTTTTCCCAGTTTTATATTTGAAACTTTAAAATCTAAAACTATTTTTTTCGGCACTTTTGCTAGCTCTTACAGAGTCCATTGTGTTGATATTAAACACTTAATAATGAGAACTACTTGATGTAAACAAATATGTATAATATAAGTTATAATTTAATAAATTACGCTGATCTCTTATTATATTTTTTACAGTTAAAGTAGCGACACTATAAAACGCCCGTACAAAACTATCTCCTTATTTTCTTAACCTTAAAAGAACGAATGAATTCCTTACATACCAAGCCATTCATTCACACAGCCATCTCTTATTTGACGTTCAGCCATTTTTGTAGTCACGTGATAGCCCAGTGGCGCCCCTGGAGGCAGCCATTGGCGATAGAGCTTTCAATGTGTGATTTTGAAAATGGATGCTCGTAATGGGTTCTGACGATGTGTCATGACTACATGTGTGTGTTGAGCGCGAGCTCTGAGGCACCGCGCTCGCGCAGCGCGCGCGCCCCGTCATGCGCTCGCTGCGACACCGTCGGGATCTTCGACACGTTGGATATCAGCGGCTTCACCTGTACCATGATGTTGTTAGTGAATATTTCTAAAAATACTAAATTAGTTATAGACTTATTAACACATTTCATGTCCTGGCTTCATCATCCCAACATCGTTGTTAAGTTCAATCGATTGGTTTCGTCAAACGCAGCATATAATTTGAGTCTAAATTCAAGGGGTAAACTAGTATCATCATCGTTAGATTCTCCAAGTTTTTAATTAACTACCCATGTAATTTCATTTAGTGTTTTTTTTACTTAGTAAATACTACGTGTAACATTAAGGTCTCGTCATTTGTGAATTTAGGAGCTTTAAGTAAAACCAAAAAACAGTCCCAATTGCCCAAAAACTGGCTTTTATCTAAAAAAGAAAAGTCTCTCCAGAATGTCAATGTCACTTAGCTTCGAGGCAGACGGGTGAAGTCTGCTCTTCTGCCCCCTATTACACAAAAAAAGGAAATGTTACCTTAAAAGAAAATAATATAAAGTATACCTTATTGTTAGCTGTACTAATAAATCCATTGCTGACATTCCCGTTGTGTAGGTTTCCATTCGGCACAGCGCCGTTTGCATGTCCATTGGCCAGTCCAGTGCCCAAATGTAGCACTGTAGCCGGTAAGTGATGCATATTTGTCATATTTGAAATTCCTATAAAAAATACATTATTAAATATTTCAAACATAAGGCAACTGCTAAAAGGACGCGTGAAGGAAGCAAGCTAGAAAGCAAATTGTCACTAGAACTTGTTAAAAATGGCGGTACACGTATTTATAATGAGCTGATTGAGGGTGGAGAAGTAAAGCTTAATTTTGAGTTCATTTGAGCTTCAGTAATTAGGTAAGTAGGATACTAACACCAACCGAGTAATGGTAGCTAAGTGAGAAGTGAGTGAAATGGATCCGAATTCCTCATCGAAGAAATCATGATTACAATAGTTATAATCATCATCAGATACCAGCGTTCGATGGCAAGAAAACAATACTCTGAGATGAGAGGAATAAGCAGCGAAGACCTGTTAAATTATAACCTATAATTAGATGGACTCTTCACCACCGGTTATTATTGGTGTAAATATTGCTATTTCAGCCGCCTGTGGTACTGGGCGCCATCATATCATGAATGAATAAGAATAGTAAGACGAAAACTGTATATTCTATACATTTTGTCATTGCCAGTTATTGTATTCTTAGAAGCATCTTATCGCATACCTTTATTTGGCGTGGGTTGTGTTTCTGGTTCCTGAGGAATCGCGGCTATAACTTCAGCCTTTTCCATTTCTTCAACTAGCAGGCTAGCGAAATCCAATTGCACCTCTGGAGATTCGGTGTCACCGTCAACCTGTAGATAAGCCACTAGTTTTAGTCTACTTGACGGCTTTAGCCCCGCGATGATTTTACTACCATCATATTATGAAAGACTTTGGATAAAAGGTAGTTCTTTTAACTTTTTTCAAAAGTTACGGGTTAGAATAGTAAACCACTACGGGCCAGATATAGATGCTTACGATAACCAGCCGATGATCCTGGTCCATGGCTTTAAGCATGGGTAACGACAGCTCCCGGAAAACTTCGAGTCTTCTTCGGAAAGCGGCAACTGAGTCGTCACGCCGTCCACGACCCAGTTGCAGCTTTGAACAATCCAGGAGCACCATGCGAGGAGATAATTGGTACTGAAAAATAATTACTTGAATTTTAAAGTTACCTGTTTGCAAATTCTACTTGTACAGATAATGTATTGCATCAAGTAAAAAAATTAGTTGCTGAAATATATTTCAGTTTCTCATCGTCATCACGTTCTGGCACGTTTCCCAATTTCATTTGGGATTGGGGCAATACGCAATTACATAACATTGCAAAAGAGTTTTGACTGGTTTCTGTTATGGTATGTCCTGCCTGCCTTTTGCCAGCTTTCCTTATTAATGTGATAAGGTAAACGGATAGGGCGATCTCTCACTAGGGACTAGAATAGGGGTATCCATTGCAAACGGCAGAATTATCTCTATTTCTGGAAAAATATTAGTACCTCAGTCTCGAATTCCTCCATTTGGTCTAAATCCCTTGGATACCCGTCTAACACAAGGCCGTTTCCAGTTCTTCTTGCTTCGTTGACAGCTGCCCGCACAAGTTTCGTGACCAGTTCTTTCGGAGCCAGCTCTCCACCACTGATGGCCATACGAGCTAATGCACCGTCCGATGCTGGGCGGCCGCCAGCATCCGCAAGAGATCTGAGGCGTTGACCGAGGCTGCAGAGTTAAGGGTTAGTTTCATGTTATGAAAAAAAATCTTCAATTTTTATACATACGAGTAAAAAACAAATATGCAAATATAAAAAATTAAGTGGTTCATCTTCTCTTATTTTTAAACATTCTTTTATCTGCCGGCTTTAACCCAAAATTATTGGTGACCGCTAACTATAATACAATTATTTTAATTTTAAAAATTATATTTCATTACTGACTGTTATTTAATTTAAAACTAAAAACTTAAAACTTGACACAAACCCTATACCAACCCGTCTGGCCAGCGTGGTATAGTGGGCCAAAACCTCCTTTCTAAGGAGAGGCTTATGTCCAGCAGTGGACTATTAAAGGCTGTTGATGATTTAATTTAAACTTGACAAGCTACAGAATTGTGTTCTGGCACATATTTGATACCAACCTGAAATGTGTCCATCCAGGTCGCTGTGCCACGGCTCTCTGACATAGCGCAGCTTTATTGCTGCCAGGACCTCCAACCACCCACAGTATTGGTGTTGTCGTTGTCTCCCCTCTCACTCTTATTACTTCAGGCTGCAAGATTGTCAATAACATAAATCAATTTTAACCATAATTTACTATAATTATTAGGTCTTATGTTTTCATGGTGTCATTTACATACAGGTTCAGAGTCTTCTAACGAAGATTACGTAAGCAGTAAGTATTAATCCCACATCGCGCAAGGAAAGTTTACGCGCTGAAAAGTACGCGCTAAAATTAATAACGTCAGACACCGTGCCACGATTTGACCAATCTAAAACTGATTCTCAGAAAATTAAGATATCGGTACCCTATAATATATAACACCCCTAACACACTGTCTACACAATTTTATCGATATCTACTTTTAGACCCTCACCTAATTTCCTTACAAGTCAAAATATTCATCAAAAGGTTAAATAGGCCATGGCGCGTCTCTCTGACCTTTTCTATTCAATACAGAGTGATAATGCAAACTATTTTGTACTTAGTCACTCCGATTAAGTATCCTTCGGACTAAAAAAAAATAAAAACGGAAATATATTAAGTCTGTGAAAGGACTACTTCGTTCAATTGCTCTATTGTCTATGATATAAATTGCTACGAGTATTATGAATGTGCTGTGTTTGTAAAGAAACCTCAGTAAAGCAGTAATAAAAAGGTATAGTGAAATGTTTCCATCGAAACTCCTTTTTGTATCGTATTAAGATTCAGGGGTAGTGGGAGCAATGGTAATCTAACTAATGGAAACAAAAGACCTACTCGTATTTGAAAGCCTCTCAAATTAGTTTAGGTTAGTTTACAAAAATACGAACCTTTGGCGTGACAACTCTCTCCGTCACAGCCGTAACCTGCACCGGCAGCACCGGTGGTAATATCTTCAAGCTGTCTTTCCTGTCATCTGGAACCGGCTCTCTTTCTCTCTCTTGTCTCGGAGCCGGCTCCACTCCCACTATTTCGCCAGGTATACCGCCTGCCCCTACCCCGACGCCATTTACACCATTCATCGTAGATTGGTCTTCTGTGGAGCCTAGGATCTGAAGTACGGCGGCGCGGAAGTCTTTATAGACTTCGTCGGGATTTCTTTCTCCGTTGATCTGTAAATAATAATAATGCCATAAAGAAAATCAGAATTCCAGAAAGTTCGATTAACCGCGCAATCCCGGGAACCGTTTAATAATATTGAAGGTTGGCACGGAACAATGAGCTCTATATCAATACGCATAAGATCACTCGCAGAACGCAGAAAACTCTTCACATCAAGCTTCAAAATGAAGAAATGAAGAGGCAGTGGGTAGACGCTGCGCGAGAAATATCGGTACTAATCTCGATGTAGTTACTGGTTGTGACGCAGTAATAAAGAAGAACAAAATATTTATACGGCAAGCCATAACCCCGCATGTAAAGAATCTACTCTGGAAAGATAAGCAGGACCTAAAAAAAAGGGCTTTAAATAGATATGGTGCAGAGAAGTTAGGGTACTTTTACGTAAAACCCATAACGCGAAAGTCATTGTCCTAAGCTCTGAGAGTATGCTCGGAGAGTAATATCAAAAACCTCACTCATTCTTAATATTGTACATTTTTAATTTCTTCGTAATATTAACAAAAAAAAATACCTTAAAAATGGATGACATCCAAGATAACATCACCGAACTACTCGACTGCCCAACCATCTCATATTATTTTGAACAGCTACCCAACCCTTTTATCAAGCAGGCTACCTAACTTATCTTCATGTTAATATTCGTTTAATAATTAAAAACTTAAGTAAGTAACCTACAAAACGGTGGGGGGAACAGCGCAGGGATCTGTACTAGGCCCTCTGCATTATCGTACCTATGTAAATGACATGAACATCATAAAGAACCGTGTTGTTTATCAGTATGCTGACGATACATGTCTCATTTCGGCTGATCGTGATATAGTAGAAACCATGAATCGACTACAAACGGATTTCACGCTTCTAACAAAGTAGTCTTATGATGTAGGGTTAGTCCTTAATACGCAGAAAACTAAACTGCTTCATGTGTCATCGACCAATAATATAAAGAAAAGTGATTTTGACATTCAATTGGTTACCATTGATCATAACTGATCATAACAAGTCAATGTTACTGCGAATGCATTAATAAAATTTCTCAAATCACGTATTTAGGAGTAATAATAGACGATAGGTCTGCTCATATTGAAACTGTGTGTGATAATAAGACACAAAACATGCAAACTAGAGGTAGCGAAGAGACAAGACAATTGTTTCTTTTTATCGTTAACATCTGAGTTAAAATGTTTAAAGCAAGCAGATGTTCTATCGTGTAGCTGTGTAACGATTTAAAACCTTGGGTGCGCCTTCCATCAAAGTAGAGGTAAAGAATTAACTCTTAGAAAAGTATCAACGACTTCAATATTCGATTCCATCGTTATGAATAACAACAAAACAACAAACAACAAACTGAGCTAAAACTTCAATGGGACCAAATGCGAAGTCCCTTTCAAATCATCATCATCACTTCAACCGATAGAGGTCCACTGCTGGACATAGGTCTCCCCAAAAGTTCACCACAACAACCGAACCAGGGCTACGCGCATGATGGAGTGCTGAGAGAACTAATATAAAAAACAGTCCAAATAAGAACGTACTCTTTTTTTTGAAGTACTTCTTAAACAAACGACTTTCAAAACACATTTATTATTCAAATATCTTTAATTATTAAATACACTAGGTGATCTACTTAAAACAATTACTTCAAGCGTCACATGCTGTTCGCTATGAGTAGTATTTCCCACGATTTAGATTTAAAGCAATAATTCCAAATAACAAATAATAACAGGTTACTCGGAGTAAAATAACCTACTTTCAAATCATTATAATAATATTAATACACTTATATATTATACAATATTAATACATAACACGTAATGGATATTAACCAAAACTAAACATTTTAGTTGCCTTCTATCAGGCCTAGTGTGTCAAATCGCTCTCCATGGCGAGCGCGTTCGGCGTTGTTTTTAGCGCGGGCCAATCGCTACACTGAACGCCTCACTGACGAGCGAGTTGATGTAAAATAAACTCATACTAGGCCGTCTGTTCTTGGGGATAGAATGGAAGATGCAATCGGGCCGCAACCCTGCGATTGAGGAGGGAAGTGTTTTCCCCTGTGATAGGGCCTGATTAGGCATGATGTCAATTTGAGGAGGACCTGAAATAGCATGGTCCGGGTCCTCCCAGAGTAGGCCTGAGGCCGGTCGTCAGGGTGGTTTTTTAATTTGAATCACCACATACTCCTGGCTCCTGAGTCCTCGAGGAGCAAGAGATATGAAGGAATTTTCCACCCCGTCAACAAAAAAAAATATAATAGTTATGAAAGACACCTAAAAAGTACCTAGTAAGTAAGGGTCTGGAGCATATATCCAGTTGGTATTTGCTAAACGTTTTTTTTAAGTTGACGCATGTAGCTTCCGACCTAAAAATTTCACAACAACTACTGTACACGGTACACGCTACTGTGCACGGTATAGAAAAATTTCGTGTTAATTTCGGATTAATTTCGTCAACAACATTAATTATAGAGCAGGGTTGCGGTGTAATTAAAGGAATATGTTAGACCTGTATCAATAACTGAGTTATATTGGGTCAGCCATGCATAATTAATATAACCCAAAAACTATACGAGTAACTTTAATATCTTCCGTGTTATATGGCCCAAATGAACCAATGGAACTCTCTAGAGGATCGTAGTTGTTAAATAGTTATAGTCTGGAATTATGTGGGTTTTTTATTCGCAAGGCTTAATTTTCGACCAATGATAACAATCACTTTTAAATATGGCTTTGTGCGTAACCGAATGTGAAAAACAAATAAATAAATTTCAAAATAATTATTTATACTTATAAAAACTTTAGCATTTTTTTTCCACAAAAAAAACTGCTTTCTGCACTTCTGCACATAAACCGTAGACAAGACGGTTTAAAAAAAAGACAAAATTAAGCAATAATAATAATAATTAGGTCATTTGTTCTGTGTCTGGGTGCAATTTATCTATAATAGTATTTAGAAATATATAAGTGTTTATTAAGCAGTCTGGTTACCATAGTACAGGCTCAGCCTAGTTTGGGACCAGACGGCCGTGTGTGAGATGTGTGAAAATATTATTATTATTATAATATCTACACTAATATTAGAAAGAAGAAGAGTTTTTTTGGTTTGAATTAAAAAATTCTTTGCCTTTTTTTACTAGTTAATGGTTGGCCTTTTTATCAAGGAAGGCTATATAACATCACGCTACGACCAATGGGAGCCCAGCATCAATGAAAATAAAAAAAAATAGGAAAATTTAATCCTTTTGGGAGACGCATGCAAGTTGCGAGGTCAGCTGGTTTGTTATTGTTAAGTAGTAAATTAAATGTAGATTAAAATGTTATAGGGGTCAAGAAGTAGGTACCGTCATTAGCATAAGGGAACACGGGGTCCATGCCCAGGGCCCCCATCGTCACCGGGGCCCCGAATTGGCTTACACTATACAATTTATTTTGTAATAATTTTGAAATAATCCGACAAAAAATTATAAAGTAAATAGGGGCGTTGTTAGCCACTTGGCAACCCATAGCAATAATGACCCAATAACATTGCCGAATACCACAGAAAATGTGGCTTTGCCAAACTTTCCAGATGGGAAATGGGTAGTTCCACGTTTCGCCACCATCTAAACTTTAAAATCGTCTTATGTCAATGTGTATTAATAGCTTAAGAATTTTATTGGTCAAATTGATAATAGTTATGAAAGATACCTAAAGAGTAAGTATTTGCAAAACGTTTTATTTTTAAGTGGACGCATGTAGCTTCCAACCTAAAAAGTCAAAAAATTATCTATTTCGTGTACATAAATCGCTTGGCAGCATATTACGAAATTAGCAATCGTTTTAATGTTATTTCTCAATGAACAACAATCGATTCTGAAAAGTTGATTAAAAATTCAGTTAATTTAAAAAATTCTATCACGTAGACCATAATGCATATGAGCTAACATCAGAATAGTTTAATTTAAGGAAGTATTTGAAGAAGGCATAGCAAGGGAATCAGCGGATTTCAATAGCTCAAACTTACATAAACTCATTAGTAAAGCCTGATAAATTAGAAGAAACTTTTCCAAAAATGTTAAAATTGCTACTAGAACATTTTTCAGCTCTATGGTTACCAATTGTAATGGAAAGCGCTAATTTTTACAGTTAAAGTGTTATTGTCCAACGGGGCCCCAAATTTTTTGTGCCCAGGGGCCCCCGCATAGCGCCTTTAGGTCAAATATACATTCTATTGTCCTACTCCTTACACAATAAAAGTTCCAATTATTCTGGTATATGAAAACATTGAAAACGGTCGAATTTGCATCTACGACTCGACAGTCGATCTTAATAAATAATTTATGAGGACATTAGGATGTCTGCTATGAGTCAAATAAAAAACTGCAGATTTCTGTTTGAATTTGAGCTATCTGTAGATAAATGTTTACCCTCTGTGTTGTCTATTAGTGAGTATTAGTGGAATGACTGAAAAATATTTGATATATAATAATACTCACTGATTTTAACCCGTTGAAATCATGATGAGCTATAATTAAGATATACTTAGTGAGTGTTTTGGGCTATAGTGGATATTCTCCCTTAATTGCTCACCCTTAGAAGTGTCAAAAAAAAAACTCAAACTCTTTATTTTATAAAAAAATTTTTTTTTTTTAAGTCGTCTTTTATGTAGACTCTAAAATCATAGATTAACACACACAAAGCAACAATGTCTGATATATTCTCGATCTCACAAATGTCATAAAATTTATTCCCGTAGTAATGTATTACTGAGACGAGCAGAATACCGATTCAACTTACGATCCAACTTACAACTTGCTCTTTCACAATACGATATAATACATTACAGTCAACGTTGGATGTTTACTTTACTACGAGAATACCTTTTAACATCCATATTAGATCGAAACTGAATTTTTAAAAGTATTGACCTTCAGTAGTTATATTCTTATAAGTCTTTCATTTTCTAGAAAACAGTAACGTGTATTAATTATTATATAATACCCGTTCCAACTGCA